CAGCACCCTGCTCACCCAGCACGAGGAGCGGGAGATGAGGTAACCATAGCAACACTACAACCCACTACACCTGCATCACTCAACGTATCATTTCAGTCAAGTATTATTTGATTACAATAAAGCGAATTTGTTGTGGCTGGTCATGATGCAGCGGTTCCCTCTGTTTCAGGCAGAAGAAGCTGGAGAAGGTGATGGATGAGGAGGGTTTACCTGATGAAGAGGTGAGATGCCCTCAGAGAAGATATACTGACCTTAGAGCTACCTCACATTATTCTGGAGTTCTATTCTAAATGACTGAGTTAATAATCACAGAAATGTCAACAAAAAAAACCTGTTTTGCTTATCTGAGAAGTGGTTTGAATAAGACTCAGACTGTGTGCTTTGTGCTTAGTACCCTGCTTCAAGTATGCCAGTGATGTTGCATTTGATTCAAAATATTTTCCTGAGTAGTTTGTATTTTTGTTGTAGAAGAGCATGAGGCGCTCTCTGCACGCTCGTAAGGAGACCGAGTTTCTGCGTCTCAAGAGGACCCGTCTTGGTCTCGATGACTTTGAGTCCCTCAAAGTGATCGGGAGAGGAGCATTTGGAGAGGTGTGTCTATAGACGTCTACCATTTTACTAGCTGAAATGAAAGCTCATAAATGATCGTTATATAATGCTCTTCATTAGCAAGCCACATAAATAATGCTTCCTCATGGAGACGCAACTCACAATTGATTGTAATAGAGTTTGACATCAACAACACGATACTCTAATAAACATAGACCTGTTTTATATGGATTTGTCATTATTCAATTAACTATAAGTATGTTTATAATCTTTCTCTCAACTATTCTTCTATGGTGGATGCCTGTGCAGTGCATTCTAGGATTGCCTTTTCCATGAAGTACAATGGAAAACGGTCTAGTAAAATATTAGGAGACATCATAATGTCATTGCCTACCTTTAGGAGATGCCTGTACTGCTTTAAGATGTCGTCTAGTTAGGCAGCTCTCGGGGATTTGAAATGACCATTGTGTGTTTATAACAATGTTGTTTTTGTTTTGTTT